ACTAGGTATTTGTTGTGGTATGCATGTGCAGCACAGAAACAACTTAGCTCTGACTGTACCATGTTTTATCTGCTTACAGATCAATGGAGTCAATTATAGCAACCTCACATAAGTGTATGCGCATTGAACATGCTGACAAGCTGAAAGTTTACGTAACTGATGAATCTCTTAAAATCTGGCTGGTGGATGAGAAGTTGATTCTGATGACAAGAGTGCTGTGTTGTATGGTCTTGTATCAGTTGATGAGGAGGAAGATGTTGGCAGAAGATTAGACTGTTCAAGAGAGGCAGATGAGAAAGAGCCAATAGAGAAGCAGTGTATCTGCTCTGATGATTAGCCAAGATGGTGATAATAATCTCCTAATCATTATCATTGGAACTGGTTGCTGGACTGAAAGGAAGTGGCCACTTGATTATTTTACAGTTAGTACAATTGGTTGATTGAGCAACAAATGAAAAGGCATTTCAACACGTACTTTACAAACTACTGGGCAATATTTGGAGGCAAAACATTGGTCTGATATTTTGCAATAACCTTTACATCTACCTTGTTGAGTTTTAACAAAACCTGCTAGATACAAAGCTGAGATCATTAAATAAATATCCTAGTTAAAGTTACATTTGGATTTAACTGTTAATGACAACACAATAGACACTTCATGATACAACTCATGATCTTGTGAGTGAGTCAGTGAGATTTTATGTTGTAAAATTCTAAGATTGTACCTGATTTGCTGATTGGTATATATATATATATATATCAGTTTTCCTGCAGTGTTATCAGAAGGTTGTACTCTAACACAGTATGGGAAATTAGCAAAGACAGTATAAATCTAGCAAAATTTGTATCATTTTACTAGATTTTTGTCCGAGTTATTTTTTGTGTTTTTCTGATGTAATGGGATTTGATATGACTCCTAGATGGTAATGCTTACAGAAGGAACATGGTGATTTGGACTGATAGTGAAAGTAATTTTGCTGTCATTCCTTGCACTCCTGCTACACTGAACTGTGTGTATTTATATGTACTTAGCAGTTGACAACATAAAATGCAATCTACATGGATCTTTGTACCAAAATATTATATTTTTGCTTATTATATAAATTCTGTTCAGACTTAAAAGACTGCAGCCCAACTCATCAAGAACTAATGTCACCTGTAAGTTATGAGGGGTCATACATGTCACCTGAGGAGAATGATTACAACATCTTGTGACCTGTAATTAGCTGTCTTAAAGTTTAAGATGGCAAGGTTGCCCCTGAGATAAGGAAAAGGAAGGGAGTCGTAATGACTCTTCCATAACTATTATAGAATATATCTTTATTTAAGTATATGCATGTTAATACTTTCCTAAATTTCCATTCAATTTCTACATTTAGTGATGACATTGTTGTTGATCGAATGTTTCAAGGTCATAAGTATATGCTAATTCTTTTACACAGGTAGAGTATACATACCTCAGTATTTGTCACTGAGTTAAGCTTGTGTGCATGTGTTTCTATATGAACTTCTTCAAGTTGCCTATTCAAATAGGCAATGCATATGTACAACCTTGGCTTGGCTTAAGATTATATGTAGATCACTGGTTAAAGTATTGTTGCGTCAGCAAGGTCACGTGACTAGTGTCACTCCACCTATTTTCTAGAAATATCCTGTTCCTTCATGAA